CCCCCCCCCCAACGTAAGTCACATACAGTCAAATGTAATTTAATGTTAATTTTATGTCTCTATAACGTAAGTTGTACGTAATTTGACGTAGGCCTAAGTAAATGTTCGTTTAAAAAAAAACATTAAAAGTTCTGAGGGAATCACAAGGTGCAATATATCCTTTCATTTCCATAGTGAACAGCTATAGGCCTATCACCTGTCTCTGCCCTGATTAATGAAACACGCAATTAAATTCAATAGATGTTCATGATGAGCATTTTATTATAGTCATCAGGGCAGAACCATTTATCTTGTTTTATAAAGATGGGTTGTTATATTTTAGTCGTGTGTAATATGTTTTTTGGTCAGCAGGTGGCAGACGATGTAAATATTGTAAAATAATGACTTCACAATGACTTTGGTTTGAGAAATGTATGAAAACTCACAAAACTTCAATAAAACAACTAAACTGCTTGAGACTAAAGCTAAACTACACAACTAAAGCTTGAGAAACAGTTGCACTCATTCTAACATGAAATTAAATGTTATCTTAGGAAGAAAATGCTGTTCCACAACATATCACAAATTATGAAATAGAAGGCCTATGTGATTTTTTTATGACTTTTTCTGATAATTTGATCCAATATAATAATCATGAACGCAGTCATACACAATGAATCATACACAAACACGTGTGAAAACTTGCCCCAGTATCATTGTGACGGCTTGTCTTAACAACCTGACACATTTTAGGAGATCATTTGTGTTTTTCAAAGACCCATGCTTTAATCCCTTGACTCCCACTGCCTGTGAAAATAATTTTCAGATTGTTCCTGCAGCCTTGCCAGTAAGTATTGACCCAGAGCTGTATCCTTTCAGATTTCACCCTTATAGAAATTCCTGTGTGTGTTGTGGGAGATGCTGCTTTTGTCTGGTAATATATGTAAATATCTGCTCAGCACAGATGGCTGTTCTGCTTTCCCTTTCACACCATCTCTCTCTCTCTCCACCTAATTCTTGTGTTTCTGGTAATGTCAATGTCCCTTTAAACCCACTTCAGCCCTTAAAGTCTCTTTATTTGTGGTTTTAAGACTCAGTACTGCTCCCATTACAGCCTCTATAACTGTCACTCAGTCACTAGAGATCTGCTTGTGCTATATTAATTTGGTTAAATGCGAAAGATTTTTCTGCAGGCTTTCAGATAGATTTTCTTCTCGCAAACAAATATATATCTGCATCCATTCAGCAGCAATCAGTGCTTCACTGTTAAGGTAAATGTAATTATTATTCATTGTAGTTTAATAATTATACAGTATGTAATAATTATATGTAGACAGACAGACAGATAGATAGATAGATATTCCAAATAAAAAATATGAATATTAATAGTAAAAAAACTTGAGCTCTTATATATATATATATATATATATATATATAGTCCAAACACCAAACATTCACATATATAAAAAATAATACATAGATATTCCTCATAAAAATATGAATGATAACAGTAAAAACTATATATACATATAAAAAATAATATAAAAAGTATAAAAATTACTTGTTTTGTTGCAACCTAATGTATTCAGGTTTATTCTGTCATATTAAATTATATTTAATAATTAAACTAGTAAATTTTCAAGGTTCTTCGAGAATCTATGTTCACTGTGATCTACTTGTGCCATTTTTTGCCATTGTTACTCTTTGTGCTTCTTCCTTTTGAAAGAGAGTGGGAGAGAGAAAGGGAACGAGAGAGAAAGAGGGAGGGACAGAAGAGTAGAGAGATAGCAGTGAGTGGAAGAGAGCTGCAGTAGAGATTGTGCACCTGCCTCAGAGAGGACACAACAGATGAAAAAGAAGAGAAGGATGCAAAGAATCATCTGACCTCGTATTCGGACAACCCACAAAACAACAAAGAACTGGAATTCAAAGAAAAAAAAAGAGAAGTGTGGACAAGCTGTGCGAAGACTGAGAGGAGGCATTGAGGAGACAGAACACAACCAACAAAGTAAAGAGATGAAGCCTGTATATTGAGCCGCTTTTAAGAGAAGACGACAGAAATTCCTGCTGTTTCATTGAAGAGAGAGAGAGCAGAGCAGATGTACCAAACTCATGGGCTGTAGAAAGTGAGCACAATATCACCACAAATTAGACAAACTTAACCATCCGGACATAGACTGCTGGGTGACAAGGATGCATAGTACCAAACTACAGTTTCTTGAGCTTAGTGTATAGCATCTAATTACTGCACAACATGCTCTTTAAAGCAGAGACATTGAAGATTGGAGTGAAACTGCTGCAGAAAGGCTTTCAGCTGAACTGATACGGTCCTTAACAAGCAGCCATTGGCACCTTGTACACAGTTTGAACTTTGGACAAAATCACCTCACCTCTCTCCTCTCTACTTTCTCTCATTCTCTGTTCTGTATGTGATGGAGGTCTGAGCATTAGTCATCATGCCAGTGATGAAAGGGCTTCTGGCCCCTCAGAACACCTTTCTTGACACCATCGCCAAACGCTTTGATGGCACACGTGAGTAATTCTGTTTTTCTCCAACCTCTGTCCCAGCTTTCACCTTCAGACTCTGAAACTCATTCTAATGCAGCTTCTGACCTCATATATAAAATGTGAAAGGAGTTTCAAGTCTTACTATAGTATTTACTAATAGTTTGAATTAGCTTTTATTTCTCAGTTATCATTTTAATTTTAGTTGAAGTTTTAGTAATTTTGTTTTGTGCTTTTGTAATGTTTATAAAATGTTAGTTTTTTTTATTTTGTTTCTTTAATTTATTTTATAATAATAATGATGTACTTTAGTACTTTAACTTATTTAATTCAGTTAGTTGGCAACATTACGGAGATAAAATATTTTTAATCTAATATTTATATTTTATTTTATTTCACCTTATTTCAATTACTGAAAACATTTTTTATTCGTTTTAGTTAATAACTATACTGTGTCAAGTTCTCAAGAAATAGTGAAGATTTGCTAACATATAAGTCTGCAAAGGCTAGACTAAATTTTAGATAAGATTTTTTGCTCATGAAATATTTTTCAGGCAATATATATACATTTCAAATATGCATATTTTAAATAATGAGATCATGTTACCTCAATTATGAAAAAATACAAATCCTCATGAGTAAAGATTAAAATCAGAATACTTGAATGGAAAATACAGAATGTGTGTAATTTTGCCATCCTTGACGGCTGAATGTCTCATTTTAGTATCAGTAGGTCAGATGAAGGATGTGTTGTATCATCTTGAGAAATTGTACTTGGTAATGTTTAGGAGTCATGCTTTTTGCTGTATGCATAAATCTAGGCTGAACTGTTGTATTTGAGTGTTTGTGTGTGTACATTTGAGAACAGAAAAAACCCTGAAGTGTTATTCATTGCAAGAACGCCACTCAGTGTTCAGTAGTGTGGGAGTTATGCACTACAATTCTGTACAAACACGAGTGAACAAATGATGGATGGCAATAGATGATGGGATCATTTTGTATGAGTGGTCTTCACTCCCTCTCTACCTGCCATCATGTCTGTCGAGGGAACTCAAAGCACACTAAAGCCATGAAGTTGGGCATGACTAAACCTTGAATGTGCGATAGCATGTGCTAATGTGTTGAATTGACCCTATCTGCTCTGAACTGACAGACACAATGGTGTTAGTCAGTGTGTTATAGTCTGATTCGTCAATACAGGATATAGTATATATCACTTTCATCAAGAGTTTATTCATCTCATCTAGTTATCTAGGTTACTCAAAGCTTTGTTCACTGCACCCAAATCTGATGCATTTTTCAAATTAAATCTTTAGGACTGACTGTACTCTCAGAAAAAAAGTTGTCACTGGGGCAGTACCCTTTCAAAAGTTACACCTACCTAATTTACCCCTAAAAGGTACATATTAGTACCTATAGCCCTGTTGAAAAAAACAGCATATGCTGGTTAGATATGTTTTGAAGCATGGCAGCTGGTTTAAGCTGGTCCTTAGTTGGTCATGAGCTGGTTTAAGCTGGTTATGAGCTGGTCCTGAGCAGGAGCTAGTTGCTTAGGACCAGCACATAACCAGCTTAAACCAGCTCATAACCAGCTTATAACCAGTTCAGGACCAACTTAAACCAGCTCATGACCAACTAAGTTCCAGCTTAAACCAGCTCAAACCAGCTGCCATGCTTCAAAACATACCTAACCAGCATATGCTGGGTTTTTTTCAACAGGGAGTGTACATATTAGTACCTTTTGAAAGGGTACTGAGAGTGTGCGAAGGGATGAAATCAGATGTGTTTGTTCAGCGCATGTGAATTTGATCACCACTACAGATTGAATTTTGGGATCCAAATAATGCAAGAATGCAAATACAAATAATACAACAATGCAAAGAAAACCCCACTAAAAAACAATTTCACCTGCATTCAAACTGAAAAGCATCAGATTTTAAACAACATGTAAATGTGGTTTGAATCGGTTTTGTAAGATTGCATTTTCATATAGTTTTTTTTTCTGTTTATACTACAAACAACTAACTGGATTCAAACTGGATTCACTTTGAAATGTTAAACTTGCTTCACCTGCATTCAGTGTTCATGATCTGTCACGTGTGTGGCGAATTTGCGGTTCATTCAGCCCACCACATATACATTTCACTATTGGTGTGAATACACCATTCATCTGTGACTCGTTTTGCTTTTTCACATCAAGTTTTGGTCTGAAATTACCTTAACTAGACTTTTCACTCAAAGTGTAATCATCA